CGATCCACCAACAGCTCAAACGCGACCCCCCATTTTTCGTCGTCGTCGTCGTTCACCTCCGCGCCCTCTACCCGGCGCGCCTCCACCGCCTTCATCTCCTGCACGATCTCCCCAAAGTCCGCCGTCCCAGTGATCGCCGCCCACCCCGACTGCGTGTTCAGTATCTCCTCCGCCTCGGTGACACGGACGTCGACCACCTGCGCGCGGTCGTGCGAGATCCGACCGGCGCGGTTCGTGTAGTGGAAGACGAGCGCGGGGTCGATCGCGCCGCTGCGCGTCGCGCCCGGCAGGCCAGAGACGGGCGTGAGGCCCATGCTCGTGTCAAGCGAGCGCCCGTTCTGGATCGCGCAGACGGACGCGCCCGAGCCGAGGTGCATCGCGATGAGGTTCGTTTCGGAGGGGTCCTGTGGGAGGCGGGCGCGGCGTGGTCAGTGTACTGTAGGCTGTGTGCTACGGTGCGGAAGGGGGACGGGCACGGGGAGAGGCGGACCTTGTGGAGGAACGCGCTGACGGCGCCGAGGATGAACGCGTCTGCGGACGAGGAGAGAATGGTGAATTGTGAGACGGGGGTGCTGGGGACAGCGCGACGTACAGCTCAGGCCGTGGAACCCGTACTTTTTCAGGCCGCGCTTCTGCGCGATGTCCTGCGGGATGGGGTACATGGTTATATGTTTGGGAATCGTCCGGTGGAACGAAGTGTCAAAGTAGGCGATGGACTGTGCCGTTTGCAGCTGCTCTATGCACGCTTGCATCACCGAAAGTGCGCCACCGTTGTGACTGCAGCGCAGCGTTAGCTGGAGCGCGGAAAGGGTACCGATGCATGACGCACAGGGGGGCTAGGTCAGAGAGCCGCTCGATGTGGTGGTAGGTCTTGTTCGTGATGACCACAGGCTCAAGATAGTCACCTCCGTGCACGATGCGGTGGCATACGTGTCCAATCGCATCACGGTCGATGTGTCCCTCACGCTTGAGATAGTCAAGGAAGTGCTGGAAGGCGGATGCATGGTCCTTGATGTCGTCCACGGACACCTTGTGGGCTTCTCGGCCAGTATCATGCGCTGCGAGCTGGAATGAGAACGTCGCCGGAGTCTGGGAGATTGAAGTGATCGTGGAAGTAAGCAGCAGTTGGACGATTTCTGGCGACGAGGAGGTGGACTGCCAGGATGCCGTGCGGCGGTTGAAGAGGGACACCTTAAGCGAAGACGACCCCGCATTTACGGCGAGTATGAGGGCGCGCTTGGAACCATGTTTAGACGACATGGAGATCCTGATATCAAGTGGCTAATGTTGTATGATATTTGTGAGTTTTAAGAGATATTGGATGGTGTAGAAGCACAGACCTGTGAATGGGGAGCGTGAAGGCGAACGGTGGACTTGCAACAGAAGGTTCAAAGAGCCTGGTATATTCTGTGAAGTGCTCCATGGCGGTGGACATCGACGTGCTCATGGACGTCGAGATGGACGAATCACGATGACGTCGTTGCACTCCTGCGACGTGACAATGCGGTGCTCTATTCTCGTACTTGATTGGTTGGTGTGGGTGACTGAGTGTGACCGCGCGAGAGATTGGAGTCGTTCCTCCAACGAGAGGTCTGCTCTCTCCCTCCGCTCTCCATCGAGGCACCACCTATAAATATGTCCTTCTTCTCTCCCTCGTCGGCCACCACAAGTCTGGCTCAGGTCCATACGCCCACTCCAAACAATGCCCGGTCAACTCGTCTTCCAGCCAAACCCTCCTCCGGATTCCTCCCAGCTGCCTGAGTCTCTGCTCAACTTTAGAATACAGCTCGATACCCATCACGTTCTCACTAAATTTGAGCTTTCTGCTATTGAACAGTTCCGCAGAGCCGCCAATTATGTTGCGGCCGGTGGGTTCCTTTCCCTTGACTAGTATACAAATTGCCGAGCTTACAAACGTCCCCATATCTAGCGATGATCTTCCTCAATGACAACGCTCTCGTAGAGCGTACCATCACGGCGGAAGATGTCAAACCTCGTCTGCTCGGTCATTGGGGTACCTGCCCGGGCCTCATCCTCGTATACGCACACCTCAACCGTCTCATTGGCAAGACCGGCGTCGACGCTCTATACGTGGTCGGCCCCGGCCATGGCGCTCCAGCCATCCTCTCATGTCTATGGCTTGAGAACTCCCTTCATCACTTTTATCCAAAATACACCCGAAATTGTGAAGGCCTCTCTGCTCTCGTCAAGTCTTTCAGCGCTCCTGGAGGTTTCCCAAGTCACGTAAACGCGGAAACTCCAGGCTCTATCCACGAAGGTGGCGAGCTTGGCTATGCACTCAGTGTCTCCTTCGGCGCAGTCATGGATAAGCCTGATCTCGTCTGTGTGTGCGTTATCGGTGACGGAGAGGCAGAGACGGGTCCTACCGCTACGTGGGTTCGCTCGTTCTATATGTGCATGAACTCGCGTTGACGAACCTTCAAGGGCTTGGCATGGTTACAAGTACATCGATCCCGCTGAGTCTGGTGCCGTGTTGCCGATAGTGCATGTAAATGGCTTCAAGATATCTGAACGCACCATATATGGGACTATGGATGACAAGGAGCTCATTGCACTCTTCACCGGCTATGGGTATCAGGTTCGCATCGTCGAGAACCTCGATCACATTGACGAGGACCTCGCTGCAAGCATGGAGTGGGCACTGCGAGAGATCAAGACGATACAAATCGCTGCACGGACAGGTAAACCAATCGTCAAGCCTCGCTGGCCCGTCTTGATTATGCGCACGCCCAAGGTACATATCCGCATTCTTGATTAGATCTCTGCATCTCAAGTTCTTGTTCATAGGGCTGGTCTGGACCCAAGGAACTCGATGGCGAGTACATCGAGGGCTCCTTCAAAGCCCACCAAGTGCCTCTTACCGGCGCAAAGAACGATGACATAGAGCGCAAGATCTTGCAGGATTGGCTCAGATCCTACAACCCTAAAGAGCTCTTTGACGGAGATGGCGTCCCCAACGATGCCATCCTCTCGATCGTTCCCAAAGACGAGCATAAGCGGCTTGGCATGCGAGCGGAGGCTTACAGAGCCTACCAACCTCTTGATGTGCCCAACTGGCGTCCATTCTCGGTAAAACAGGGCTCTTCAGATAGCTGCATGAAGATTACGGGCGAATTTCTCCACGCTGTCATAGAAGCGTAAGCCTCACCAAGTCTTATTTACCCCCCTGACATTGACTCCCGTAATAGGAACCCGAAAGCGTTCCGGATCTTCTCCCCTGACGAGCTTGTCTCCAACAAGCTCGACGCGGTCCTCCGGCACAGTGGGCGAAACTTTCAGTGGGACGTTGCCTCTCGTGCGCACGGCGGGCGCGTTATCGAGATCCTCTCCGAACATACGTGCCAGGGGATGCTGCAGGGCTATACGCTGACCGGCCGCACGGGTCTGTTCCCGAGCTATGAGGCATTCCTCGGCATCATTCACACCATGATGGTACAATACGCGAAATTTGTGAAGATGGCGCGCGAGGTGCAGTGGCGTCACCCGATGGGCTCGCTCAATTATGTTGAGACCAGTACCTGGACGCGGCAGTGGGTATATGCGCGTTCTTGAATTAGGAGAAAGCGCTGACAAAGGTGCGCAGGGAGCACAATGGCTTCTCGCACCAGAACCCATCGTTTATCGGTGCAGTCCTCAACTTGAAGCCCGCGTCTGCGCGTGTTTACTTTCCCCCCGACCCCAACTGTTTCCTCTCGACGATGGCACACTGTCTACGCGCGAAGAATTACGTCAATCTCATGGTCGGGAGCAAGCAGCCCACGCCTGTATGGCTAAGTCCCGAAGAGGCTGACCAGGTAGGCCCCAGGGTCAACCACCCGCACCCACGCACGCAGGTCCAAATGCTGACTCCCCGGCAGCACTGCGTCGCCGGCGCGTCGATTTGGAAGTTCGCGTCCACCGACGGCGGGCTTACGCCCGACGTCGTGCTCGTCGGGATCGGCGTCGAGATGACGTTCGAGGTCATCGCGGCCGCGGCGCTCCTGCGTGTCCGCGTTCCGGCACTGCGCGTGCGCGTCGTGAACGTCACGGACCTCATGATCCTCGGCCCGACCGACTCGCACCCGCACGCGCTGAGCGCCGCCGCGTTCGACTCGCTGTTCACAAAGGACAGGCCGGTCGTGTTCAATTATCACGGGTATCCTGTCGAGCTCAAGGTGCGTAGTACCTTTCAAGTCTCCCGCGACCGAGAAACGAGAGGTTGACGTACGCACGATGCGACACAGGGCCTCCTCTTCGGCCGTCCGAGCCTGGACCGGATGGCGATCCACGGGTACATGGAGGAGGGCACGACGACGTCGCCTTTCATGATGATGCTCCTCAACGAGACCTCGCGCTACGACATCGCCGCTGCCGCCATCCGCGCGGCTGCACACCTGAACCCGCGCGTGGAGGTCGATGCGCATGTGGCTGTCAGCGCGATCATGCACCTTGCGCAGAAGGACAGGGAGTATGTGCTGGAGCATGGGGCGGACCGGGAGGACACGTTCGATGTCCCAACGTTCGAGTGAGGGGCATCCGCGCTGTCACCTACATTTATGCGTGCAGCGACCCGACGTCTAGGCCTGTGATTTTTTATCATGTTGTATCATGCTGGAGAGCTTCGAAGCGGTTCTTCGAGCCAATGCGCATGCGTATGAAATTTTGACGCATCAAATCCATTCTTTCATTTCACCCCGAAGCTGGACACAGCGTTCCGATGGATAGTGACCCCCCGCACGTGTTCGCGTGCCTCGCGTTCGTACAAGCGACCGGACTTGGATGTACTCCATGTAGCCACGAATCTCTCGAGCCCTACCTCCCAGCGCCCTTCCTCGTATGTCCTGATACCTGACATGGGCATCGGCCATACAGTGCTTACCAGCTAAGAAGGTTCGAGCTGAAGATAAGAGCCTACCCCAATAAAAGGAAACCTTCGAACAGCGGTCGAAGCGGCGACCTTCTACCTAAATCGCGCAGTAATCGATCCATACCAAAAGCTATCCTTCGAACCAGGATTGAACTGGTGGCCTTGAGATAACTCGGTTCGGAATCCATTACAGTCTCACGCTCTTCCAACTGAGCTACCGAAGGATCGGAGAACACCGAATGTTGGCTTATAAAATCCATTGCGACGATCGTTATTAGTCCTGCCGTTGTACCTCTTGTTCATATTGCATGTACGTTGTCCTAACTAGGCCAAGTCGCACCTTCGTCTAGCAGGATGTCATAGTCCTTTTTATCATTGCTAGTCACTATGCTACTGTTAATGTCCATTGCCATTCGTTATTGTCCAAGAATTACACGAGCTGCACTCGGTCCATAGAGGAGTCCGTACGGCAAACCATTCTGGGCACGCAAGATACTTTCCTGACACCCGCCCCTGACACCGTGCTCACAAGCCGCACTTGCTCGGGGACACCTCCTTCACCTTGGCATGAATAACGCCAAGCTCTTCGGCGTGGCCGTGCGTGAGCTTGTTCAAGCCCTTCTTCCCGATGTTGAGGCCCGACTGTGCGTGGTCGATGGCAAGCACGTTGATCGTCGTGCCGTTGTACGTCACCCGCCAGCACGAACCGCAGTTGGGTGAATTCCAGCCTAGGGAGAGAGCGAGCAGTTATTGTCGTCAGCGCCCTGTGCGTGTGACACGAACGATATTGATCAAACGAGATGGCGCCTACCCGCGATGGCTTGGGCACCGCCGAGATACTGGTTGGGCAGCGACCCGAACGTCGTGTAACCTGATCGATAATCCGACACGATGAGCCGGCCACGGTCGCGGTGCAAAACGAGGGGTCAAAAACGCGCACCCTTCGTCTCAAGGCCGTGCTTGCCGTTCGAGCACGCAACGATGTTGAGCGAGTTGCTCTTCTTGTCGTACACGGTGTCGTACGTGACCTGCAGGGTAGAGCTGCCGCCGCTCGAAGAGCTGGCGGGCACGCCAAGCACGGCCGTCGCGAGCGAGAGCGCGGAGGCAAGGATGGCCAAGAAGTGCATCGCGATTGGCGCGAGAGACGAGGCGATGTGAGGAAATCGGCAGACGTGAGATGCGCGGGATGGCAAGTATTGCGCGAGCAAGCTTCTTCTTGTACTTCACAGGATGGCGCGGCCTGCAAGGATTAGGACGGGAGCAGATGATACACCCTCTCTGTTCGGATCCGCGTCCTCATCCGCGACGGTCAGGGGCACCCGCCCGATGGTGGTCTTGCGGATCTCTCACATCTGTGCATTCCGGTGCGTGCGACAGCACATGACGGGGCAGCGTTGATACTCCCGCCCTCGGTAGTCGACTGGATGAGGTGGCCGACCTGTTGGGCGATCCTTCTTCCATTTTAAAGAGTCGCGCATATGCAAAGCGACGAAACAACATCTTGTTCAGTGAACTACACACAGTTGAATATGTCACTCCAGTGTAGTCCTCTTGACTTCGAATGGAATCTGCGCACCTGCCATGTCGAGGGGCTGCCGGCGACCCCTCACCGTACAGGATGACCGCTAAGCCGTAGAAAATTCGCGGTGCGGAACCAAGACAGGTGACGTGGACATCAGGTGTTAGCTAAATGTGGGAGAGGTCCAACCGCGATCGGTCCTCTTGGATTGGTGGACCACACGCAGGGAAGTGGGAGGAAGGAACGAACAACGGGGGTAACCCAAGCTATGCATTGATGTCGATGATGTACGCGAACTGTAGTAACCGTAGGGCAAACTAGTTAGAATGATGGTGAGCGGTGATTATACCGAGGCAGTGTAAGTATGTGTGCATATCGACAGCGAAGATAATGGAGATCGTGAACTCGTTACATTCGTTAGGAAAAAGAAATGCTGGCATCCCCACGTTTACATGATAACACACCACTTGCCCTTCTTGTGCTTGTCTTCCACGTTGCCGTCAATAGGGGTATTCGTGGGGACCTCCATGGCAGGGGATGCGCCAGACTCAGAGAGGCTCTTGGAGAACTCGCCAGAGGCGTGGTCCAAAGAGGCACGTCCTTCATCTGGTGTCTTGACCGTGCTGGAGAACCAACCTCCAGGGAAGTAGCGAGAAGACGTTGTGGACTCCAGACGGCCACGTGCGCTTGCCGGTGGGAGGTCGGCCGGAGGGGTCGATGGCGCTTCGATGCGGATTTGTTCATTCTCGTCTACAGGCGCCAGACGAGCCAGGCTAGGCCTGTGCATAAGCGCGTCAGATTTGTTATAGTCAAGCGAAACATGCAATACAACTTACTTGGTCGTCATCTTCTTCCCTTCATCCGATGTGGGGAAGGCGTGGAGACCATTGCCATTGGTGGTAGCCTCCACAGTAGGCGCAATCACAGCAACCTTCTCACTGGTGGCTTCGTTGAACACTGGCTCCTCAGCGGTGGGCACAACGGCGGACTCAGTCTCATCCGCACCAACATCGGAACCAGGTCCCTGCCGGGTTACCGAGTACGATGGTGTCCAAGGACGTGACGGAGGTTGGTCGACAGACTGTGACTCGATGTCCTGTTCAATATGTAAGTAATACAATATCGTGAGTACAAGACGATGTTGGAGACTTACCAGAGCAGGAACCGCAACCTCTTCAACGCGAATCTCAGGTTGCTCCTGAGCAGGAGCGGCCTCGTGCTCGGCAACTTCTTCATGGACTGCCGGGGGCAACTGCTCGAGCTCCTCAAGCTCCTTTTGGACCGGAGCGGGGCTATGGAGAGGACTGTTTCCCTGTTGCGTGACGGAATACGAAGGCGTCCATGGCGACTTCGGCCTCTCATCACCAGTAGCAGGAGCAGGAGGCGTCTGCGGCTACGCAGACTTCAGCGTTGATTTGCGCTGGTAAACTCAGTTGTACTTACCACATCAACTTCCTCGTCGGCCTCCGTGACGATGACAGGAGCCGTAACGGGGGGCTCAACCTCATCCACGAGAGCCTCGGAAACAGGTTCCTCAACTGGTGCGGCGACCTCTTCAGCTACAGTAGCTTCGTCGGCTTCAACGAGTTCCATCGTTTGAGCGGAAAGCTCTTCGTGAGCGGGCTCTTCTACAAGCTCTTCTACTGCCGCTGCAGCTGCAGGCAGGGATTCAATCTCTGCAACGTCAGCATCCGTAGCGGTCTGCTGGGGAGCATGAAGAGGGCTAGAGCCTTGAGAGCTGACGGAGTAAGAGGGGATCCAAGGAGAAGCCTTCGAGACGTCCTCTGTGACCGCAGGCGCCTCCGCCGCAGGATCATCCTCAGTGGTAGTAATGAGGACTTCGGGAGCAGAGAGTTCTTCCATGGCTTCCTCGTCAACAATTGCCGCCGCGGCGGGCTCTTCATCTTCGTGTTCCGAATCCTCAGTTGTTTGAGGCTCGGAGATCGCCTCCACGACTTGCACGGGCTCCTCGATGACTTCGGTGACAGCTTCAGCGTCAGCCTCTACAGAGGTAACTTCAACCACTTCATCCACAACGGCTGGCTCAGGCTCCACAACGAGAACGACCTCAGGCTCAACAACAGACTCTACAGGAAGCTCAACGGCTTCCACCTGGGGAGAGTGCAGGGGACTTGCGCCCTGAGAGCTGACCGAGTACGACGGGACCCATGAGGCAGGTTTGGGACATTCAGCCTCGGCCTCTGCGACAGCAAGCTCTGCAGCATCCTCGGAGGGCTAACATGTAGTCAGCAACACACCCACACACACGTTGTCAAAGCACGCTTTCTCACCTCAGCTGTGATCTCGACGATAGGCGGAGAGACAGAAGCTTCTTCTGTAGGAGGAAGCTGCTCGAGCTCGGCGATCTCTTGTTCCACTTCGGGAGTGTCTACGCCAGGTCCTTGGGTGGTGACACTGTACGACGGCGTCCAAGGGGACTTGGGACGCTCAGAAAGGGATGGGGAGGGGGACGGGCTCCTGGAAGTAGCGGTCTCCTCGGCAGTCTCCTCCTCATGCTCAGGTTCGTCCTGAGGGGCATCCACTGAAACGATGGGAATACTGAGCTCCTCGACAAGACCCTCTTCGACAGGTGTCGTGGCCTCGACCTCCTGAACGGGAGTCTCATCCGCGACAGTGACTGTCTCTGGCTCCGCTACCACGTCTTCGACGACAGGGGTCTCCCCTTCCGTATCCTCCTCGGCGAGTTCATCAGTTACCTCAGCGACTTCATTAGCTTCCTCCACGTTCGATACTTCGAGCTTGGCATCTTCAGCAGGTGTCTCAGCAGCAGTGAGCACATCAGCGGCGATAGCAACGTCCTCGATGACTGTGGTCGTAGTGTCTGTTTCCTCCTCAGTTACAATGACAGACTGGTCGGTTTCCGGTGCCTCTTTGACGACAGCTGGCTCTGTAGAGGCCGCAAGCTCTTCAGCAACAGCTGAATTGTCTTCTGCGGGAAGATCCTCGACGATCGTGGCCTCAACGGTAGCAGGCTCTTCGACTTCCTCTTCCTCTGTGACGGGAACGGATTGGTTCTCTTCGACGGCAGCTTCAGCAGCAGCTGGGGCCTCAACCACTTCGGATGCTTCCTCAATGACCACAGGAGCATCCTCAGCAGCGGCGAGGGACTCTTCGACAGGGACGGCCTCTTCGGTGGGAATGGCTTCCTCGACAGCGGCAGGCGGGTCCTCGGCGGCAGGAATCTCCAGCGTCTCCACCGCGGCGGTCTCCTCGGTCGCAGGAGTAGCTTCCTCAGCAGAGACATACTCGGCAGTCTCTACAAGCTGCTCTGCGACAGAGACAGGCTCGTCGCCTGCGATAGGCTCGGTCTCCTTCGTCTCTTCCACGGGCTCAGCCTCTGCCTGGATGGGAGCGTATTCCTCTTCTTGAGCGACAGGCGCCTCTTCCACGGGAGTAGGCTCGGGCGAGCTTTCCATAGCAACTTCCACTGTAGGTGCCGCAGCTGGCTCAGTGCCTTCAACCGCATCTTCAACAGATGTCTCCTGCGCTATGGAAGTGGCTTGCTCGACGTCCTCTACAACAGATACTTGCTCGATCGCAGAGGCCCCTGCTTTCACTGGCTCCGCAACGATTTCGACCTCGTCGGCAGATACGATCGGTTCATCGACTGCATGTACAGATTCCTCGACGGATGGCACAAGCTCCTCTTCGACGGCGGCGACAGGCTCTTCAGCAGGAGTGGAC